AACTTTCCTCCTAAGAAAAATCTCTGCCTCTACTCATCTGGGGCAGATTTCTTGGAGCAGGGAAGGATTCTCTTACATGTCCACCTTTTTAGGAATGAAGACTAAAAAGGTCCTCAGACTTTGTTGGAGTAAGCTATAGAGCAAGCTCAATTTTTGAGATGCTTTGTTCACAAGCTGAGTTTCTCTGTAGGTATAATGAAAAATGAATACACCTTCCCTTACAGGACTACTCCAAGAATTATTTACCATATAACATTTTTCCTCATTAAAATAGTGAAAAAGTGATTATATTTTCACTAAGGATGTAAAAATCCCGGTTAATCAGTTAACTGATTAAACGTTAAGGCCACTTACTGTTTAATTGGTTAACTGACTAAAGCAGGATCCCAGGCTGGGGACCACTCCAACCTGGCTGTAGCATCCCTTAGAGCTCCCACCCCTAGTCCCATCCTGGAGCTGGAGATGGCTCTAGTGCCTATCCTTTGCCAGAGCAACCCCTGCTGGAGGGAGGGAGGACTGCGCTTGGGCCACTGGAGACAGCCCCCAACCTTCAGCAGGTGGTGAGCTGCTCCAGACACAGTCCTCCCTTTCCCATATTACCAGTTAACCAGAACCAGTAAGTATTACCCATTTGGGTCCAGTTAACCCAGTAATCAGATAACCGTTCACATCCCTAATTTTTACACTAAGTCCAAAACTCTAAAGAGACATTTTTAAATATAAAATTCCATTTTTATTCAAATTTCCATGTTAAAGTTATGTGCAGCATATACAAGCAGCACATTTTTCCAGAAAGACCCTGCCTTATAGCTACCTGCACCACATCCAGAGTCATCCACAAGTACTATGCAAAGAACTAGTTAAACTGGAGTTAAAATTGGTAAATATTTACCTTTTCAAGTTTTTTCTCTTAAAGGATTTTTTTTTTTAAAGCAAAGCCTGGAAATTCACAATTAAAGTTACATTTAAATCAGGGATCATGGAACATATTTGAGAATCAAATATCTTTCACTCCATGAAAATCTTCATGAAAGACCAGCAATGCCTTCAGCTTACATACAATGGTGATAGTTACATGATTACTTTAAGACAAGAAATATTTTAATTTAATTCACAAGACAAATTGCCCTGCCCTCCCAGCTACTGAAAATGTTCTCCGTTTAGCAACTGAAAGACATGCAATCTTGAACACACATTGCCACCAACAAAAATAATGAAAAAGAAAACAGTACTTTTGCTACAAAGAATAGCTTATTTACACTGTCTATTGATTTCATTTTGTGTAGTCAGTTTTATTATTTCTTCTGTATAGAATTTCCTCTTTGCAAGTCTTTTTAAAATGTTTCTCTCTCTCTCTCTCTCTCTCCTGTTGTATACTACAGGCTACTGGAGCATACAAAACCACCACAACTGCTAGCAGGGGGCTCAGGGTCAGCAAAAGGAACTACCGAACATTTAAATAGCTTTTGAACATTAGATTTCCAGTTAATGGCATCCCCTCCTTTTTGCTCCACCATGGATATTTTTGAAAAGCTTTGTCAAGTTAAAGCAAACTGCTCTGTCAGAAGTCCAAGGAAAGCTAAAAAAGCAAGGACCCTGTCCTTTCCAAAGCCTTCCAACACACGTATTTTGTCTTGCTAGCGCCCCTTTCTCCTCACCACAGTTAAATATGCCAAGACTAATTTTAAACAAATCCAAACTTAGGAAAAAGCTGTTTTAGAATCAGAAGTGTAACACACACACACACACACACACCCCTGCCTCGACTTTTTACTGTTACCTCCCAAATGCCACATCCAAGTTTTTCTAATAAGATGGCATAGATCAGAAGTCTGAAATTCAGGCAGCTTAGTTAGGCTTTGCCAAACTAGAAGGCATGTCAAAACCTAGCCTGTAACAGCTAGCTAGTTTCAAACCTAATACCATAAATAAAGTTGTCTATTTAATAGTAACAAGATGGTAAAAGGATTCTCTTTAGTTTTAAAGCAAATGTCTTCAATCTTGTCTAGGAGTCACTGTACGTTTTACTAAGTAGACCCTACATCTTTTTGTGACCCCGCCATTACATATAGTACAACTTGTGCATCAATGGAACCCTAGCTCCAGCCTGGTGCAGAGGTAAAGGGGAGCTGGAGATGAGATTGCTACTTATCTCACAACAGTTGCAGCAGCTATTGTCCATGACAGAAGAGTAGCTTGGCCAACACAAGTGAGCAATATAGCAGCCATGTGCATGGGTTTGCAGCACCACTAAGATTTGGCCTGGCCATCTCTATATGGACAGTGGGATGGCCACAAAACTTTAAGTGGCACCGAGGCACCAAGTCACAATGCCCAAGCAAAGAGCCATGCCTATCTATGGATGGATGAAAGCCATCACTGTGGGGTTGGTGAGAAACGGTCTTGTTTTCCAACACCCTCTTGCCCCAAAAACTCCTCTTTCACCCCAGACCAGAAGAAATGTAAGTTTGCCTAGGTCAGGGCCTAGTGTCGAGTTAAAACAGCCCAGGATGTGGCAACCCACCTAGAACTTTCTTGTGAGCCATTGGTGCACTGGGATCATTTTGGGGGGGGGGGGGGGGGGGGGGG